ATTAAAGGTACAGTGTTTGCATAATATAAGCCTAGAAACCCTATTATAAGTTAACTTTGTAGCGAATTAATTCGCATCGAATCGAATTTCTTCCTGGAATTCGCCGAATCAGCCGAATCGAATTTTTGAAAAATTCGCTCATCTCTAATTCTAATGTCCCTAACTTACATTCATACATACACAAACTAATTTACACAGTGCTTTACATATATATATATATATATATATATATATATATATTGTACATTCACATACATTCTAAAGTCCCTAACTTACATTCATACATACCCAAACTAATTTAAACAATGCTTTACATATATATATATATATATTGTACATTCACATCAGTCCCTAATCCTCAAGGGGTGTACATTCTACGGTCCCTAACTTACATTCATACATACAGTACACATACTTGGGCCAATTTAAACAGGAGCCAATTCACCTACTAGCATCTCTTTGGAGTGTGGGAGGAAACTGGAGTACCCAGAGGAAACCCACACAGGCACAGGGAGAATGTGCAAACTCCAGGCAGATGGTGCTGTGGTTGAGATTTGACCCAATGACTCTCGTACTGCCAGGCTGAACTGCTAACCATTTAGCCACTGTGCTGCCCACAGTAGTTTAGAAATCTTTGTACACAATGGGTCCAATTACATTTTTTATACCATGCACTGGAGCTAGATTCAAGGGGCTTTTTATGGGGCTTCTGTATGTGAATGCTTTTCTTATTATGACTCTGTGCTTTGTAATTCTCTTCTTTAAAAACTACAAAGGGCTGTGCTCTGAACCAGGTAACATTTATCCTGAATTTTTTACAAGCCTCAAATTCTGAAAAATCTGGATATCGGTAGATCGGTGAATTTGCGGGGCCCTAGTGAAAAACCATTAAAAGCCCTCTATCTCCTAATCTCTATATCTTAAAACCAAGTCTTTTAGGAACAATTCACACTAGTTACACATTAAAGTGAGTTTCAGATGTTTTTGTGTTTATTAAAAGTCAGCAGCTACAAAAACTGTAGCTGCTGAGTTTTAACAAACACACACTTACCTGTCCTGAAGTTCAGCGATGTGCTCACCCACGCGGTCTCTTTCCCCAATCTTTACTCCACAGCTCCGGCATCTCAACTGGGGCATTAGGCTGTGAAAGCTTGTAACAATGTGCTGTGAATGTGCGAGTTGTGCTGCGCCTCCTAATTGGTCCGGCAGTCTCCTGGGACTGTGAAAGTTCCCAGGAGACTGCAGGAGGGAGGAGGGGACTGAACGTCCGGCTCACTTTGCAGCAGTGAACTGAGATGGAAGTGGGAGCAGGCACCTATCAAAACCAGGTATTCGCTCTCCCCTCCCCCAAAAGGTGCCAAATATGGCAGTGGAGGGGGGGAGGAAGCAAACAAGCAGAGCCCCACTTTAAACTCTCTGTTTTAGGGCACGTGGAAATGTCTGATGTGACAGGCAGGGGGGGAAATGTGTCGAAGGGCGGTGTAATGCACTGTTTTATTGCATCACACTGTTTACTTTTTTTTTTCTACTTTATTAAAGTTTGGCAAAAGTAGTGGAACAATATGTGTAAAAAGAATGTGCTGGCCCTTTAAATATATACCATAAATTCACTGTGCAAAGAAATCATACAAACACGTACATACATCAATAAATTCCTGTACAATATGACTGAAATATAATGTCCATCAAAATGTGTAGAAAAAAGTCCCATATCAACAAATTCTTGTGTGTACAAATTAATTCTGATTGTTCTCCACCAGCTGAAATGCCAACTCACCGGAACGATATGGTCACTAGCAGTAGCCTAACCAGCAATGTAGATGAACTCCCGATTTTATACAATTATCTTCTCTATGAACTGTAACACTACTCCACATATAGATGTTGTCAATGGGAGAATCTCAAGATAACAGTCTCTCGGCGTCTGTGATACCCTCAAACCAATGTGAATTCGTGCTCCTAAAATGAATCCACCTTCACAGAGGCATTCTTTATATCCATGTGTACCTCAAAAAGAAAAATTCTACATAGTGCATTGCCCCATAAAGATTAGGGAATGTAATGTCCACCCAGTGCTAATAAAGTGTCACGCCACTCAGTGTTCACTTCTAAGCAGCTGTATTAAATACCCTTACCCTATCAAAACTTGTAAACGACTTTCAATCTCATAGTAATCCACAAAAGCAGGTGCTCCAAGCCGTCCTTTTCTCCCATCAGTATTACCTCCAACAAAAAACATATAATAGAGCAATATCTTTTAGGATATCCAAAAGTGCTCCCTTTTTCACACAGCATAAGTGTAATGTGAATCCACTCCCCGTCACCTTACACACCATGCACCTTACTGGACTAAACACTTCCACAAGCATAAATGGCTCTCCTCATCCGATAATCCCTGCCATATTCAATCTCCATATGGAATCACGACATGGGTCAAAAAACAAGATCCTTATAGTGTAGTAAGTCTCAGAAAAGGGTCTAGTTTATTAAAATTATGCTTACAATCAAAACAATATTAAAACGCATTATCATCCATTGTGGGGAACATGAATACTCAGAAAAATGTCAATCAGTGAATAAACCTCAATCAAGATGGCCACTCCGCAACTTCCGGTCTATGTCTACATCCGACGTCACGTCCTTGACGCGTTTCGTCACTTCTTCACAAAGGGTGAGTATCTTACCAACCCAGCAAAAAATGGAGAAAATACCCAATAATAGAGTTAAATAATGTAGTAATTTATTACAATTGGTAAAATCACAAGGTAAAGGATGTCAATGATTTTGGTGCCAGGTCCCCAGGTCAAGGTCAGATCCGGCCTTTGGAATGCACACCGGCTTGATAGGTGAGAGCGACGGTGCAAGGATCCTCCTGTTTGTGTTGGTGCCCCTTTTGGCACCAAAATCTTGCAAGTGCATTGACATCTTTTACCTTGTGATTTTATGAATTTTAAAAAATTGCTGCTGTCAATGGCCATATCGTTCTGGTGAGTTGGCATATCAGCTGAACACGTGTTACTAAACCCAGGAGCCTGCATTCACTGTATCTGGTATCCCACTGTACACACAACATGGAAATGCAATTATTTTAGTAAATATAAACTGCTAAATACCTTTTCTCATCAGCAGATAGAGCAGTCTTGTGACTTCTATCAGTGTCCAGCAGAGCACATGTTAAAGCTTGTAGGAGGAGTTTTCTTTCTGGTCTAAGAGGATGGAGAACCCCTGACCTCTGTCTGGACAGTGTTGATTGGCCCTGTGCTGATCACATACACTCTCCCAAAAAAAACTCTCTAGCAATACACAGCAAACTGAGCATCTGCAGAGTGTCTCCACACTATATGTCTTATCAGGAGATAAGAGAGAGACACTGGAAGAAGGGGAGGATCAGAGAAGATAGGATCAAACAGCATTTTTACACAACGCAGAGGATTAACCCGTTAGGTTCCACAGTGAGTATAACAAGCATGCTTTACTGCATATACAGATGGATTTTACTGTTGTGAGTTTAGTGACACTTTAATATACAACATTTTTGACCGAAAAAAGCAAGCAAATGTAGCTACGTACTATCGTAGTAGCAGAGGAAGTGATGTAGTGATCATGCATATTTTTTTCTGTTTCATAACTTCCGTACGATTACTGTACACATTCAACAAAAATTGGACTTTGTGTTCACTCACAATAAAAAATTTCTAGCTTGCACCTTTTTTTTCTTCTGAACATTTTGAATCAGCTGTCAAAAGCACAATACTAGTAAACAGATAATCAACTGATTGTTCCCTGTTCAGAAATTTTCTTTTGATTTTCTTATCATGTGTACTGGCCATTACAATTATTCATTCATGGTCTTTGTTGAGCAGCACATTGCAATGTGGTGACCTGTGGTGCCTGCATGTCTGCATTTTTTGCACCGCCCCGTACATCACACCAGTGCTTTTTTGACTGTGTGTGCATTGGGGGGGGGGGTCACATAGAAAAGCAAATGCTTTGTATGTGCCCTTGCTGTGACTGACATTGATCAGGCGCAGAAAAGTACCAGTCATAAATATGAAGGGGCCCTTAAAGTGATTGTAAAGGTACGAATATTAAAAAAAATAACAAACATACTTCATACTTACCTGCTCTGTGCAATGGTACTGCACAAAACAGTCCTGATCCTCCTCTTCTCCGGTCCCCCGCCGGAACTACTGGCCCCTCCCCCCTGCCGGGTGCCCCTAGAGCAAGCATTCATGCGTTCCTGCTTACAAGCTGGCCCTGAATGTTAATAAGACACACAGAGCGCTGCCCCCCACCTGCTCCCTCCTCACTGGGTGTGATTGACAGCAATGGGAGCCAATTGTGCCCACTGCTGTGTCTGAGCCAATGAGAAGGGAGTGCCCCGGGAGAACTGATGCTCTTGTGCACAGCGCTGGATCGAGCTCAGGCTCAGCTAAGGATGGGGCGGGAGGCTAAATGGTTAGCTGAAGGTTTTTTATCACTATATTTACCAAATGCTATGGCTATGACAAATTCACTTAGTAGCTTCTGTGCCCCATAGCGGTCACATGGTCTGTATGGCTATAGTTATGGCCTTAGATAATGGCAAGTACAGGAAATTTGTGAGTGAAGCAGCCAGCTGCATAAGATAAAAAATTACTAGGATAATGTAAAATTCACTCAGGTTGTGTTTCTACAAGAATTTCCATGAAAAATGTTCATGATTGAAGGAAGTTTTTAGTGATCAAATACCTTAACCTAGGGGTGGGCAACTGTGGCTCTCCAGCTGTTGTAGAACTGCAAGTCCCATGAGGCATTGCATAACTGACAGTTACAAGCATAACTCCCAAAGGCAGAGGCATGTTGGGACTTGTAGTTCACCAACAGCTGGAGGGCCACCGTTGCCCACCCCTGCCTTAACCTATACAGCTTTGCAGGAATCAAAGCTGTTTCCTTAGGTCAGCGGTTCTCAACCTGTGGGTCGTGACCTCTTTGGGGGTCGAACAACTCTTTCACAGGGGTCTCCTAAGACCATCAGAAAACACACCACTTCTCTATCAGCTTTCAGGCGGGTCCGCCCACATGCAGATACGTCCACATTTCCCTGGACGCGATGTGTGTGCGGGATGACATGCCGCCCCTGTCATCTGGCCACATCCCCGGGATCACTCAACAGCTCTGCCTCCTCGCCAGTGATTGGCCGCCGGAACTGTAGCTCAGGAGAGACACACAGGCGGCCAATCACCGGCGAGGAGGAGGAGCCGAGCAGCAGCTCGAAGATCAAAGGAGATCTAGCAAGGGAGCGGCCGGAGAAGGAAGACAGCTGACAGGTAAGTGTCTGTAGCGTGCAGATGGTGCTGCTGCAGCCAGGTATGCTGGCTGTAGATGGGAGAGGGAGGGAGCGAACCCAGGCTGGAGCAGGAGTCAGCAAGGTAAGTATCATTGTTGTCAGTAGGAGGAATAGTGCCCCATCATTGGTGTCACTGATACCAATGATGAGGCACTATTCCTCCCACTAACACCAATGATGGGGCACTATTCCCTCCCCCCCACTGACACCAACGATGGGGAACTATCCTCCCCCCACTGACATCAACGATGGGGCACTATTCCTCCCCCCACTGACACCAACGATGGGGCACTATTCCTCCCCCCACTGACACCAACGATGGGGCACTACCCCCCCGACACTAATGATGGGGCACAATTCCCCTCACACTAGTATCAATGATGGGGAACTATTCCTCCCCCCACTGACACCAATGATGGGGCACTATTCCTCCCACACTGACACCAATGATGGGGCACTATTCCTCCCACTGACATCAACAATGTGGCACTATTCCTCCCACTGATACCAATGATGGGACACTATTCCTCCCACTGATACCAACGATGGGACACTATTCCTCCCACTGACATCAGTGATGTGGCACTACTCCTCTCACTGACACCAATGATGTGGCACTACTCCTCCCACTGCAAAATTACAGTTATGAAGTAGCAACGAAAATTATTTTATGGTTGGGGGTCACCACAACATGAGGAACTGTATTAAAGGGTCGCGGCATTAGGAAGGTTGGGAACTACTGCTTTAAGTAGTTATCTAAAATAAAAATGGAGGCAGGACTCAAGACAATTTTCTCTAAGCCAGCAGTCACAGTATCAAATACACCATGAACATATCATTCAAACACTGGACACACGGCAGTTGTATTTAGGCATACCAGTGAAGAGGATTCATTCTTACCATGCTCATCATGATCTTCAGAATACACAAGCTAAAGCCTGCCATAGATGGATCGAATCTCAGACAGTTCTGGTGGATTTTTTACATGAGGCTAGAGCTGCTAACAGTAATCATTGTATTCTGCTGGCTCTGTGTGAATTGAGCACTTTTCTTTCCTGCAACCTATGGTTAAAATTATCTATGGCTTGCCTGAATCTATTGTATTGTTATAGTTTGATACTGATTATAACCCAATATTTTTGTAATTTCACTTTATTATGTTTAAATATACAGGGGTGTGAAAGCGACGAAATGTTTTGCATTGAAACCGGATGTCATGTAACACACTCTATTGCTTCCGCTGTGTGATGAGACACCTAGCAAACAGGTGGGAAGCCTCACTTTTGTCATTCCCTGCATGAGCTGCTAGTAATACGAAGTCATGTCAGAGCTTACTGAGCTTCAAAGAGGGCAAATTGCTGGTGCCCCTTAGCTGGTGCCTTTGTGACTGTAGTTGCCAATTTATTTGCTGTGTCGCAAGATACAGTATCAAAGGTGATGACAGCATATACAGTTTTCGGGAAAACATTGTCTCATAAACACTACTGTGATCGACATGATCAACTGACCGAAAGAGACAAAGAGACATTGGGAAGGATTGTGACCCAGAATAAGAAAACAACTGCTGCAAAAGTGACTGCAGAGCTCAATCTGAGTCCTGTGAAGACTGAGATTGAGCTCTGCATGGGGGCACTCGCAGAAGAGGAAGAGCCTGGATCACTGGTGGAGAACCTGAGAGGAAGAGGTTCAGTGCTGCCCTGTGCAATTCCATTGCACAGAGTAAGTGAGTATAACAACAAAAAAAAAATTAAGACTTTGCAATCACTTTAACGTACTATTGGGCTTTTTGTATAAACAGTAAAAAGATCAACAGCCAAAGCCTCTTCTCTGATTCTTGAGAAGCCTACCCTCTTTGAGCGTATCGGTATTCAAGGCCCATATCAACGGGGCATATTTTTCCTCCACGTGTAAGCTGCTTTTAGATGCCTGCCTCCTTTCTATTGATACCCAACTTTATATGCATAAATGGCCCTGATTCCTCCAATGCGATATTGCCTTAGATCAATGGAACATGATTTGGGAGGCCACTTCCAGATCTTCTATAAGTGTAGTATATAAAGAAAATATTTTTATAAAATCCTGATGTTTTGGTATAGGACTCCTGAAGTTCTCCATGCTCGTAACTCGAATGTTTCTTCTGTCTGTTGGCATTGTGGCAAGGAAACTGGCACTCTTTTCCGCATTTTCTGGGCTTGCTAGTATATTGCACCCTTTTGGAGTGAGGTCCTTGCCCTTGCCCTACTACGATTACTTTTGCGGGCTCCTATCCCATTTGAGCCCATTTACTTTTTGTTGGGCCTACCTTTTTCAGGCCTCCTTTCCCATTTGAGCCCATTTACTTTTTGTTGGGCCTACCTTTTTCAGGCCTCTTCAAATCTGCAGTGAAACTTTCTTCTCACGTTTTAACGGCAGCCAGGAGAACCATTCCCATGTATTGGCTTTCTTCTACACACCCCACATTACTGGAATTGATGAAGGTTATAGCAGAGATTGGAAAAATGGAGTACCTAACTGCTTTGCACGCTAATTCTGTTCCTGCATTTAAAGCAGTTTGGGACTCATGGGATACTTATACCTCTGATTGTCTGCTCAAATTGTTTGAAATTGATTGGCATTTCACTCTTCTGTATTGACATTGTATGTACCTATGAACCTCTCATCGATAAGCCTGTTTTTCAGTTTTCTTTTTTTTCTTCTACTGCTTTATGTTTGCCCATGCAACTTGTTTGTTATAAATTTTTGAAAATTAATAAAAAGTTTAATACAAAAAAAAGGTCAACAGAATAATCAAAAGTAACCCCTGCACAACCACTACAATATTTACAAATACTGTGTAACAATATATGCATTCTACTTCCTAGGAATATGTGCTACGTTACCGGCTTTGCCCCTTACGCATTACTCCACAGTCACGTGGCATCACCAGAGAGAAGTCGGGTGGAAGGCTGCCCTGCTCGGTGCCTACATCTGAATGGAGCATACTCAAACACTTAAGGGGACAGTAGAAGGTTTTCACATGCTAATGATCCTGTGAATAGAGTCCAGCCTCGATCCATATTGCCTCTATCAGTATTTAAGGAGATAATGAGAGCCATATTCCTGTGGTGCACAAGTTGTAGTGCACACTATCATGTGAGTGTATTTTTACTATTGTAAACACATTTTTAGATAATTACAGAAAGTACTATAATGGCTTAGTCTTTTGTCTTTGAGCACTCTTTGAGAATCACTGAATTTTAATGATTTAACAATGAATAAAATGGTTCTGAAAGCTGAAGTTTTTTTACCTTTATGCATTCTATGCATGAAGGTAAAAAACCTTCAGGGTGCAGCTTCCCCAAAGCCCCCCCCCCAATAATTACCTGAGCCCGATCCTGATCCAGCAATTTTCATGAGAGCCAAGGCTCTCCTGGAACTCTTTCTCTTTATTGGCTGAGACACAGCAGTGGGAGCCATTGCCACAGCCAGTGTGGAGGGAGAGAGGTGTGGGGCCGATCCATGTTCTGTGTGCCTCAAAGACACACAGAGGTGGCTTGGGAGCGAGCACACATGAGTGCCCCCAAAGCAGGCAACTTGCACTCAGTAGGGGGGAGGAGCCAGGAGAGAGGAGGATCGGGTCTGCTCTGTGCAAAACTATTGCACAAAGCAGGTCAGTATGTTGTGTTTATTATTTTAAAGAAAAAAAAACCAAGGCTTTAGAAGCACTTTAACCTCCCTGGCGGTATTCCCGAGTTTAGCTCGGGTTACAATTTCAGTACCACAAGCGGTATCCCCGAACTACACTCGGGCTTACCATGCGGCGTTGCTCAGGGGTTCCCTGCAGCGCTTACCTTGTCCTTCGCTCCCTCGATGTGACCCCTGCAGCGTCCCCGGCCATCTCCTCCGGCCGATGCTGGCATCCGGCTTCTGTGTTCTGGTCCCTGCGAGCGTTGGGACGTACGGGACATATGGGGGCCGGAACCGGCGGCAAATTTCAAAATTTTAGAAAATGTCATTTTCTAATAAACGAAAATGACATAGTAAAACATTACTGTATCAAACCATGTCACATACATTTTGTCCCTAGTGCTTTGTCCTGTGCCCTGCCTGCATTTTGACTGTTCTTTCTGCCTGGAAACTGAGAAATGTCCATGGCGTCCAAAAACCGTCACTTTAGGTCAAAAGCGGTTTTAGACCATCTAGAGAACAGCGATAGTAAATCAGAACCACTTGCAGAATTGAGTGATAATGATTCGTGGGGAAATTCGTCATCAGACACTGAAAATGATTCTGCGACTTTGCTCAGTGATGTGTGAACTTGCCGCTATATTTCAAATTTCAGTGTTTTTGGTTTGATTACATTATTGAATTAAATGTATTATTATTATATTATTATTTTTTATGATTATTTATTAAATTATAATTCATGATTTCGTGTTTCAAGTTTTATCCTACCCGGAATGTTTACTAGACTTTTGTTCGGATCACAGATTTCAGTGAGTTATTCCTAAAAATTACAGGCCTACAATATAAAACGCCAAATTTCCATGCAAAATATTGGTACCGCTTTCAGCACCAAAAATCTGAAATAATCATATCGCCAGGGAGGTTAATATAATCTATATACGCACAGCGACATGAATGAAGTGTACTTTTGCACGCTTCAAATAGAGTTTATACAAATGCAAAAAAAAAGGGAGCTATGTGTGATGCAGTGAATCTTGCACCACACTGCTCTCTACCGCAGTCGGGAATCAGCTGAAGGAGATGTAGAGGGCTCTGTTCCTGCGTGAATACAGTACAGTATAGTACATTATATATGCACGAGTTACGAGTTTAAAGTGAAAAAAGTTTATTTTACATTCTCATAGGCACATGTCAATTACACGTATACTAGCCTTTTAACTTTCTATGTGCATCTGTGGATTGTATTTATGCAAGGCTTGGTACTTTGAACCTTTGGTAAATTATTTTCAGTTTCTAGTGATTATAAACATCTAATTAATGCAAACAAAAAATAAGTGATTACTAAAATTTCTGGAAACAGCTATAAAACACTGGTTATCTGGAAATATACTGGCAAAGCAAGAAACATCTTTCGCAATATAGTTCATAGCTGTTCCTCCCCACCAGCACCAATGCTGCTATGTTGTAACCTCAGCACTTCTATAAACAGCTCAGGAATTCACCTTGCTAACCCACAGCAGCTGTGCTGGGGAAAAATACAACTTGGCAGACTATCCATGGAGAAATAAAAAGCACACATACAATATGATGAAAATGATGTGAGGTGCAGTGCTCAGGCATGTGCCTGACATTCCCTATAAGGCAATGAAAAAGAAACTTTCACAAAACTGACTTTTTAGAGGGACGTGAAGAGAAATCAATGCGTGCACCATTCTAGAACGTGAATGATCACATTTGAAAAGAAACAGAATGGATGTGGCCTTGGAAGTGCTTATTCCATGGATGGAAGGTTTGCAGCTACTAAGGGATTCCCTTCCTTTTATAGAACAGGCATGTAATAATACCATTCTCTAGTTCTGGTATTTATTGTTTGGACTAATAAATCTCTGAGAATGCACTGACTCAGTTCACAATGACTCTTACTATGGTGTAAACTAATCGTATCTCCAGGAAAGTTGGTATTTTAAGATAGTGGCCAGTGGGATCTAATGTTTGAAGTGAACCAGATGTCATTGGGCTTGGGCATAATCAGTTTTTAATTATGCAACCAGGTGGTGGGCTACAGCAAAATGGAGATGGAGACATTGCTCTTTATTCTTTTCTCTCAATACTGAGATACAGATGTTATGCTGAACCATCCTCCTCCGGCCAGCAGGAGGAGAGTTATAAAGTGTTACTAAACCGACAACAGTAAAATCAGTCTGTATATGCAGTAAAGCATGCTTGTTATACTCACTGTGCAACCTAAGGGGTTAATCCTCTGCATTGTGTAAAGAGGCAGTTTGATCCTGACTTCTCTGCTCCTCCTCTTTTTCAAATGTCCACATCTTATCTCCTGATAAGACAGACTGAACCGTAGCCATTCTGCACATGCTCAGCTTAGTGTGTATTGCTAGAGAGGTTTTTTTCTTTATTGAGAGAGTGCATGGGATCAGCACGGGGCCAATCAGCACTGTCCAAACAGAGGTCAGGGGTTTTGCATCCTCCTAGAGCAGAAAGAAAACTCCTCCTACAAGCTTTAACCAGTGCTCTGCTGAACACTGATAGAGGTCACAAGACTGCTCTCACTGCTCATGAGAAAAGGTATTTAGAAGTTTATATTTACTAAAATAATTGCACTTCCATGTTGTGTGTACTGTGGGAGACCAGATATAGTGAATGCAGGGTCCTGAGTTTAGTAACAATTTAAAGCCAAACAAGTCCATAGACTTCTATGTAGAGCTCTGAGAATCCTGGGAATTGTAGTTTGAGATGACAACCTTATAACAGCTACATTATTGTTATACTACATTGTCCAATATACACTGTGTAGTAAGAGTAGTGGAGACAGGACTTTTATTAAATTGCCCGGGACCGTTCTTCCTCTTGGCACCGAGGAGTTAGAGAGAGAACACCTGTCTGAATATTCGCTGCCATTTAGAGACCATACCAGTGGAGATCTGAGCCTGAGACAGGGAGTGCAGACACCCAAAGGCAGCTCAGCACTGCCCACATCACAACACCTGCCACAAGGAGCCTGGAGTGGCCACCCACCCCTGCTGCCTCACATCACTGAACACCAGATGTTTTGGGGAGAGACTGAGCAGAACACCCTTCTACAGCAAGACATAACCACAGAATTCTGGGGACTGGTGAGAGGGCTACTCACCTATAGCTGATACTGCTAGCAGGGACTGAGCCCCTCAGAGCAGGACACCAGGTGTATCCAATCTATACTGCACCCTATACCACACTTATTCCAAACCTAGACTGCACCTATACCAACCCTATTCCGCAATATACAAAATCTTTACCGCACCTGAACTACATCACCTGTGCTGAAACTATACCATACCTATACTGCATGCAGGTTAACTAGGACTATTGTTAAGTGCACCAACGTTCTTAAAGGGCCTCAACGCCAGCAGGAGAACATTTCAAAGGACTGCCCCCTCCTTAACAATTATTTTGCAAGGCCTCTTGCTACTGTTTATGCTAATCTGGATGTCATCTTGTGACTAGTCCTTACTGTTAATTAATTTGTTTGCTATTACCATTGTTAATCCATTCTATGCTTGCCTAGTTATATCTCAGCTTTATGAACCCCTAGACAAAAACAAGTATTTAACCCATGCAGTGCGGGCACAGCCCCACTGCATGGGAAAATAATATTTTTGTCTGTATTTCTTCTTTAAATCTTTATTACATATGCCTAAACAATCACCATAATTAAAAAGTAAATTGTGGCTTGTTCTCTTACAACTGCCTAACTAATAAGATTCTTGAAATGGGAAACAGAGTGTTAAATCAGGAGTAACATAGACATTCAACCATATGCATGTTACATACCTGAGGCATAATATTTCCTAGAAAAATATGCCATGTCCAGATGTGTTTTTTCCACTTCAGTGCTCTTAAACTGGACCTAGTTTTGGATATCCCTTTATTATTAGATTTCACATTTATTCTATTAGTCTCTAATAAGATACACATTTTTGTAGGTGGATTTACACAGGAGGTACAAGTAAGGATGAGCAAAGTTCTTTTCTCTGTATGTTTGAAAAATCCAGCAGGAAGTTTGCAAACCCCCAATATAGCGACAAACCTCACTGAAGTCTATGGGAACCAAATCTTATCTTTTCTGGCTTTTTTGAAGCTACTTTGCAAGCTTATATTTAAAAATGGCATGGGTAGCTTGTGAGCAGGGCTAGGAATTGGGAATCCAAAGAGGAAGAACAACACACAGAGTCTGGAACAGGGTTCAATGATTCTTGTATTGTAGGGTTATAAGTTAGCAGTCAACAGAACAACAATATTCTGAAGTCACTAGTACTAGTACTGGCTATTACAACTGGATCACGCACTTGAGGTAACAGTTCCAAACAGTATGGTATCCACAAGCATGGTGACACCAGCAACACAGTTGAGAAGCTAGCAGTATTGCTGTCAGAGATGTTGGCAATACCTTGACAGAGTCCAGCAGTAAGAAAGTCACTTAGGAATAGATTACATTACCAGGGCGCAGGGGCGGACTGACAACTCATGGGACCCCCGGACAATCGGGGATCATGGGGCGCCTGTGTCCCTTGCCCAAACTCAAAAAAGCCTATGCAAAAAGGTACCAGGGGCATCTCATGGGGCCCCCTACTGACCCTGGGCCCTCGGGCAGTGCCCGAGTTTCCAAATGATCAGTCTGTCCCTGCCAGGGTGGTATCTGCATAAGGGTGGCTGACAGGCAGGGTAGCGGTGCAAATCCTAATACACAGCACTGAACATCAGAGGATAGTAAGCAGACAGCCAGAGGCGGCTCTTTCATTAGGTAAATTAGGTGGTCCTCTAAGGCACTCACAGGGGCCTTTCAGCCACCTAATTTGCCTAACAATGGGAGGGGAGAGCCCAGCATCAGCATAGTTGCCAAGAGGGATGCCATCAGGGGGGGACAGCTGGGTCCATACAAATGTAGGGGGCCCGGGCATCCTGAGCTGCCCTCTCTGCTGTATTTTCTTTTACTAGAATGGGGAGAATTTAGCTCAGCAGACAGGCTTCTCCTGAGCATCTTCATACTTGCAGCTTCCTTTGTTTGGCCAGCAGGTGGGTGGGACGTCGGTCGTCACGTGAGTGACAGTGGTAGAACGCGATTCAGCCAAACAGAGGCTGGAAGAGGACAGGTGTCAGAACTCTGTCCACAGCAGAGGTACTCGGAGACCTGGCATTTCCTGCAAGTACCTTGCATGGCTGCAGAAATGCACACTGGCAAACATCTATGGGCATGGATGCGAGCCGGAACACACACGCGCACTGGCGCACAGTAACGCACGCCACCAGCCCAGTTTGGCACTGGACGGCCTTTATAAGAAAGCCCATCACACTCTCAAATTGCTGGTTGATCTCTGGCTGCCCAGTACCTTTGTCCTGTGTTTCCCTTGCTATTGTGATCTCCTTTTACCAACTTGTTCCTAGACCTGTCTTCTCTGCCTGTCCTGATCTGACCTCAGCTTGGCTAATGGATATTTTCACTTGCTCTCTTGTGTATGACTGTGGCTTGGCTAACGGATATTCTCACTTGCTCTCCTGTGTATGACCCAGGCTATCCATCTGACTATGTCTGCTCTAATCTCCACCTGGCATCTGACCCTTGCTCTGAACCAACTACTCTGCTGTCCTCTGCTACTCTGAAGGCCTGCTATCTCTCACGGGCGCCACCTGTCTGCAGACACCATTCCAGTGAATGAGCTATGCTCCTGGGTGTACCTCTAAGAAGCATCCTCAATTAGATCATCTCTACAAGCACTCCTGCAGATGACCTGTGCTACTTTGGGCCTGACTCCTTCTGTCCCATCTTCAGGGGAGTCTGGAACTTAGCCACAAGGGAAGCCCTCTCTCCATTGGCCACCAGCACCAGCTACTTGATAACAGGGCCGCATATTTTAGTCAGACTGACACAACCTGAGCTAGGATCAATTCCTGGATCAATGGGCAGCTTGCCCATTGAATGTAGGTGCTCGTATTGCTGCTGCACAATTCCTTTCCTGTAACTGTGAGCTGGGTTGACACTCCTGATTATTATAGGGATGCTACAGGTGTGGATGTGGGCCTATGTTGCCAGCCTGCCTGTGACTGTCTCTTTGCCAGATGGGGATGTCTCCTTCCTGGATTGGGCCGTCTCTGCTGGATTAAGCCATATTTTTTGCTGGATTAGGATGTTTCTTTGCTGAATGGGGATGTCTCTTTGTTGGATTGGGATCTCTCTTTACTGGATTGGGATGTCTCTTTGCTGGATAGGGATCTCTTTGCTGGATGGGGATGTCTCTTTGCTGTACTGGGCTGTCTCTTTGCTGAAATGGGCTGTCTCTTTGCTGGATGGAGATGTCTCTTTGCTATATGAAGCCATCTCTTTGCTGGATGGGGCTGTCTCTTTTGTGAATTGGGCTGTCTCTTTGCTGGATGCAGATGTCTTCTTGCTGCATTGGGATGTCTCTTTGCTATATGGTGCCCTCTACATGTTTCCTGTTGTGGGACTTTTGGGGGCTCAGGCGTTTCCATAATTTTATGGGGGCGAGGGGAGGGGGGAATGTTGATTGGCTGTGGCTGATCTTTTTGTGTTTGTTTGTTTGTTTTACTGGGAGCTTTCTTACCTCATTTGTTCTGTGTTATGGCATGGCAATAATGTCTGGGTACTGGGTCTGTTATAGCAGTATATGCTGGTTGCAGTTGGTCTATGTGCTCTGTCCTCTGCATCATCACTTTTCTTTTCTGTTTTTGTCTTTACTTGGTCCCATACTGTGGGAATTGTTATGTTCCATTTATGAGTCCCTTATGCCTTGTCTCAAATGTCTATAGTGTCCTGGGCTTAACTCTGCAGTAAAAAGAACCCTAGTTTTTCATTTTCTTTAGAAATATAGCCCTCATGTATGTATCCTTTAAGAAACCCAAATGTCTGGTTCCAAAATTATGAGCCTTATGAAGCTTTGAGTGGGTTCCCACTATTATGCTGTACATTCTACATATGCCTGTGGAACAAGCATCTTGTAGGACTTTACTGATCCAATTTTTGGATGTGAGGGCTGGCCCAAATGGCAGATTCATTATAATTCATGCACTGCTATGTAATGTTGCGATGGTAATTGTTGATCTATTTATACCCCCCACTGATGCTCAAGTGCTCTATACCCTGATGCAACTAGTTTCTAAATATGATTCTGCTGCTCTTTTGCTCTTAGGGGACTTTAATATGGTTCCTAACCTGGACCTGGATAGGTTCCACTCTGCTGCCCGTTCCTCACTAGACCTTTCTCACTAGGCCTCTACGTTTACCTTGGCTGAGGTATCTTGTATCGACCTGGCATATACTACCCCAACTGTTTTGCAGAGGGTGCATTCCATCCAGATACTTCCTCAAGGGATTTCTGATCATGCCCCACTGTTGGTGCAATTAAATCTTTCTTTGGCCCCTGGGTGGCGGTTGTGGAGGCTCTCCAGATTTTGGGCTGTTGATTTGAGTCTTCCAGAATTAATCTCTGAAGCTGTATGTAACTATTGGATAACCAATGAGAACACCCCTTCTACTTCGAATGACGTGGGTTGCCTTTAAATTCTCAGAATCAGCTAACTCAATGGAGGCTATGGAGGAGGAGGCAACAGCCTGGATTAGGTTCACTATACTGCTTGGCAGTGGGTGCTG